TTGTGGAAAGCATTATCTATGACCCCATTTTTCTCCCATTGACCTCTTCTAGCCTATTCCCACCCCCACCCTAGGCCTTCAGCACCCTATTGTCTGTGTCCATGAGTTATGCATATATGCATACAAGTTTTGGGGAGATTTCTTCCCACCCATCCACCCACCCCCAGCTTCCCACTGAGATGTGACAGTCTTGAACACATTTTGAATGTGTTAAGAAACTAAGCCATGCCCTCCCTGGTTTGGCTCAGTGAATAGAGTGTTGGCCTGTGGACTGAAGGGTCCCAGGTTTGATTCCAGTCAAGGGCACATACCCAGGTTGCTGGCTCAATCCCCAGTGTGGGGCATGCAGGAGGCAGCCAATCAATGGTTCTCTATCATCATTATGTTTCTATCTCTCTCTCTCCCTTCCTCTCTGAAATCAAGAAAAATATCTTTTTTTAAAAAAGAAACTGAGCCACACAAAGTGTTCTGTGAGCCTATTTTTCTTTTGAACTTCACTGGAACTAAATTTCTGATTTCCATACAATCCATACAATCAGACCCCATGTTTCAAGTTCACCAGAATATTATCTCTATAACAGTTCCATTGTAGAGTTTAAACTAAGATGTAGTTGATTTAAATGATTAGTCAAAAAAACTCAAGAATCAATTTTTTACTAAAACAAATATTCCTGATTTTTTTTTACATCCTATACTGATAAAACCAGGCTCCCAACTACTTTTCCAGTGTTATCTTCCACGATTCCTCATCCCGCCCCAGCTCTAGCCCCTGCCAGGAAGCGTCTCCTCACCTGTCTCATGCTTCCCCACCCTTTTTGCTCAGCTGGCATAGTTGTCCTCTAATAGCCAAATATCTAATCCTGCCCAGCTTTCAGCAGTCAGATTGGACACCTTTCAGGCACCCTCCTGGCATGCCTTCCCCATACCTCTAATCGGGGTCAATCTCACCTGCTGTGAACTCTAAGAATCCTTTCCTTTTGTCCTGATGCACTCATTGATTTAAGAATTATGTAATATGCTGCCCGGCCGGTGTGGCAGTGGTTGAGTGTTGACCTATGAACCAGGAGGTTAAGGTTTGATTCCTGGCCAGGGCATATGCCCAGGGTTGCAGGCTCAATCCCCATTGTGGGGCATGCAGGAGGCAGCCAATCAATAATTCTCTCTCATCATTGATGTTTCTATCTCTCTCTCCCTCTCCCTTCCTCTCTGAAGTCAATAAAAATATATTTTTTTTAAAAAAAGAACTATGTAATATGCTAAAATAACTTTTTAAAGTCAGCAATTTTAAATGATGTTAGGGGCATAAATCAATGTCTCCTTTACAGATCTATTATTAAATTCCTAAGAGCCTAAAAGTCGCTGAAGGGCTATTATAAGTAAGATGCTATTATAATTTTTTCATCTTTTTCACAAAGGTACAGAAATATTCCAATTTAAAGATTTTATTCTTTAGGTTTTTATAATTAATGCATGCATTAAATAGACTTTGATTTTTTTACTAATGTTTTTTAAGCCCAGAGCCAAATCCTAATGACTCTTTCTTAACTTGTCGGCAGGAATATATAAATTCTAGGTTTAAAACAATTAACGTGTTGAATTTACAGGGGCACAGCACTTAATCAAAGGGAAAATATACTATGCCTTGGTCATTATCTACTTTTTCAGTCTCTGAGTTGATACTCATTAGCTCTGAGCAAGGGCCATCCATGTCTGCGTAGTTCACCTTTATTTCAACACTGTCTAGCAATACTCCTGGCCCCTTGCTGCTTTTGTTAAATAAATGAGTGAAAATAAATATAAAGCAAGCACAAAAAGACAGGAAACAAATCTTCCCTGAAACCTCGCCTTACTGGGTCATTGGAAATCTAAAATGATATAATGTATTTAGAGATTAAACGATAAAAAATAGAGTTTATTTTAAACATTTTCAACAAAAATTGTAATGTTCTACATGTTTCTTTTATTATTATTATTATTGACTAGAGACCCGGTGCACAAATTCAAGCACAGGTGGGGTCCCTTGGCCTGGCCGGCGATTGGGGCCGATTGGGGGGCTGGCCAGCCCGGGTGACAAGCCGTGGCAGGTTGGCCAGCCAGATGGGAGGAGGGACTGTGGGAGGTTGGCCGGTCAGCTGTGGGAAGTTGGCTGTTGGAGTGCACTGACCACCAGGGAGCAGCTCCTTTGTTGAGTGTCCGCCCCTGGTGGTCAGTGCATGTCATAGCAACCGGTCGACTGGTCGTTCGGTCGCTCAGGCTTTTATCTCTCTCTATAAAACCCTACAACTGGTGCTATGATGTGTGCTGACCACCAGGGGCACACGTGGAACATGGTGGGCATCGGCAGCAGATGGCAGAGCGTGGAACATGGTGGGCGTCGGCCACGGCAGGATGGTGGAGTAGGTGAGCAGGGCGCCAGACCAAGGCGGGGCGCCAGTCGCTGTCATCAGGGCGAGCCTCTGGTGGTTACTGAAAATTCTTTGCTCCTGAGCACTGCAGTCCCGCCTGGTACTCACATCTGCTGCCGGTCCCAATTGCTTGGTGCCGTCAGATGGTGTGAGTGGTGACTGCTGGCCCTGATCACCCCTGAGGGCTTCTCCACCGCCCCAGGCTCCTAAGGGGTGATGGGGCAGCAGCTGCCGCTCGCACCCACTGCTGGCGCTGGTCCCAATCGCTCCACACCATCAGCAGGTGCGAGTGGGGCTGGCACTGTCAGCTGGCTTGGTATCTTTACTTTTATCAATAGGTATTGTCATGTTCATGTGACATTTATAAGGCTCCATGAACTAGAACTTGCTTTCTGAAAATCACCGTCTTTTGGAGGCCTTTTCCCCCCTTTCATAAAAATTAAGTGAAGCCCAGTACACCCATAGGCCCACCAGAGAAGTGCGAATGGGCTGCCTTCCTTCATGACTGTTAAGTGAGACTTGGTCTTCTTACCCTAGAACAGTGATGGTGAACCTATGACACCTCTGACACTCGAACTCATTTTTTTGGTTGATTTTTCTTTGTTAAATGGCATTTAAATATATAAAATAAATATCAAAAATATAAGCCTTTGTTTTACTATGGTTGCAAATATCAAAAAATTCCTATATGGGACACGGCACCAGAGTTAAGTTAGGGTTTTTCAAAATGCTGACACGCCGAGCTCAAAAGGTTCGCCATCACTGCCCTAGAAGGTGAGAGGTTAGTCAGGAGCTGCATAAGGATGTCCTGGTCAATGACAGACCAAATATAAGACAGTGGTCCCATAAGATTATGAGCTAAACTTCCCTTTGGCCTAGTGCTGGGGTAGTGCAACACATTACCACGTGTTTGTGGTGCTGCCAGTGGTATAAAAACACAGCACACACAATTATGTACAGTACACAGGGCTAGATAATGATCAACAACTCTGATACTGGTTTATGTATTTACTATACTTTCTACCATTATTTCAGAGTGGGCTCTTTCTACTTATCAGAAACTGTTTGCTGAAAAGCTGTAGCCGTTTTATGCTGGCAGCAGCCCCATACGTGTGTGCTTTTAAAAAGTTGATGCACTGATTGATTTGTGCCTGGGAGAGAGAGACATCAATTTGTTGCTCCGCCTTGCATTGCATCCTTGCCTCTTGGGGCTGATTTAATTTGTGTGGTTTTGTACAGTCACCTGCTGTACAGGCTTGTAGCCTGGGATCCACAGGCTACACCATGGAGCCTGGGTGTGCAGGAGGCTGTTCCACCCAGGTTTGCGTACATGCGCTCTATGGTGGTCACACAATGATGAAATCCTCGAACGGTGCATTTCTCAGAATGTGTCCCCATATGGAAGCCGTGCAGGACCGTACTAGAAGGCAACCCAGAAGCTCTGAGAGTAGATCTTCCTCCCCTCTAGAGCAGCCCTATCCGACAGAAATGTACTGTGATTTTAAACTTTCCATAACATTCTCGTTTCAGCGTGCAACCAATATAAAATGAAATCGTGAACGCTCTTTCCTGTTCATACTACGTCTTAGAAACCCAGTGCACATTCTGCACTTAGATCAGACCTGGACCTGGACTGGCAGCATTTCTGGCGGCCACTGGCGACTCCCAGGGCCAACGCCAGAGAAAAGCCCGCCCTGCGCCTTGTACCCGCAGTTCACCTGGTGGGAAGGCCTTTCACTAATTGAAGAAACCGTCCTCCTCCTCCTGCAGGCCCAGTCCTCCCAAGATCTCCTTACTGTGCGGAAGATAAAATCCCAGGCATGAGTGAGGTTAAATTGTACACCGTAAAGAGAGACCTCGGACAATATTAGAGCTCAGTAACATACACCGTAAAGAGAGACCTCGGACAATATTAGAGCTCAGTAACACACGTTCGTCCATCATTCATCTGGCCCACGTTTCATATGGAGTAAGGACTCGGTTGCACGATTGAAAAAAACAAAAGCATTTATTGTGACACGGGTTGTACTGGATAAGCCCTCTAACCTTCCCTGTTTCCCAGGGGTGGGCTGACGGCGTTTCCAGGAGCTCAGGGGTGATGGAGACCCACCCTGCAGGCTGTCTCAGTGCCCAGCTGGCGCGAGCGCCCCGGCCCACCGCGGGCATCGGCACGCGCGGCTGAGCCCGCGGGTCGGCCAGCCCCGCCCCCTTCCCGGCTTAAGCTCGGCTACCCGGCCCCAGCGGCCGTCCCTCCCCCAGCCCCTCCCTATAGGAATGTCCCGGGGGCTTTCACCCAGGGCGAGCCAGCGAGGAGCCCGGCGTGCACAGGCGCCCCGCCGCCACCCCGCGGCGCTTGTCCAGTGGCCGCCGGGGAGAAACCCTGTCCGCCTCCGCCCCGTGACCCCGGGGCCTCTCGACGCGCGGTCCCGACCCCGGGCTGACCCGTTCGCGACTCTCCTGCCAATCAAATGCGGTTTTCCTCCGAACGGCCAGCCGACCAATCACCGCGCGCGGTGCACTCTTCGGCTCCTCCGCCCTTCGGCTCTTCGGCTCATCGGCTCTCGTTCTTCGGCTTTTCGGCCCTTCGGCTCGTCGCCCCTTCGGCCCTTCGGCCCTTCGGCTCGTCGGAGTTCGTCGTTGCTGGGCCTTCCCGGGCCTTCCGCCTGCGCCAAAGCATAGTTCTCGTTGGTTTAAGTTCCTTTTTTTTTTTTTCCCCAGACACTTCCGGGTCCTGCGTCGCCCCGGAAGCCCGCGAGTTCCGGAAGTCTGGGTACCCAGGTTCGGCTAGGAAAAGCCAAGCTTCCTAGAGAACGTTTCAGAGAGAGTCCCGCGGAGCGGGGCGTGTCGCCGACTCCCAAGGTCAGTGTCCGCCGAGGGGCCGCAGTGCAGCCCAAGGTCAGCGGGCAGCCGAGGGCGCCAGCTTCCCCGCCTTGTCCTGGCCGCCCTTGGCTGGAGTCCTCAGGTCACTGGCTTCCCGGAGGAGGCAAATCAGAGTGTGATTTGGGGAAAGGCAAGAAGCAAACCTAAACCCGAGAATGAGGGTGAGGATCGCACCCTTAGGAGGGAAAGGACCGCCAGCCCGAGCTCGACGCGTCCTGCAGGGACTTCGGACGAACTTCCGAGTCTGCCCGCGCTCGGCGGCGCTGCGCGGTCCTGCCTCTGAGCCGAGCGGGTTGTGGATCAGGCAGCGCTCACGCCGCACTTCTTAGCTCGACGGTTCATGCAAAGTTTGCATTGGGTCCCGAAAAAGAAAAAGAAATAGTGTGCTGAAGTTTCCAACCTTTGTGAAAGCCGATGCACTTAAAAGCAGTTGTAATTTTCTTGTGGAGGAAGAGTTCCTGGGAATGTTCCAATAGAATTACTTGCGATGAGTTTGTTCTACTTAATATTTATTTCTGATAAGAAGTAATGAGCATCGTTAGCATTTTTCATCCGAGGCCTGAAGTTAAAAGTTATCGTTTGTTCATTTCTTTAGGTTCCATTTTCCAAAAATACAACATTTTGTGAATGAAAGTGTTTTTTGTTTTTGTTTTTTTTTTTCAGAATAAGACTAATTGTTGAACGTTCAGGTCTAACGTGCCCTAGTTAGTATTCCATGATGGCCTTTTTTACCTTATGTTTTTTACCTTAATTTAAATCCAGCTCGGCCAGTGTGGTTCAGTGGTTGAGCACCGACCTATGGACCAGGCCATCGGGGTTTGATTCCTGGTCAGGGCACATGGCCGGGTTAGGGCCTCCATCCCCATTGTGGGGCGTGCAGGAGGCAGCTGATAGATGATTCTCATCATTGATGTTTGTTTCTCTCTCCCTCTCCCTTTCTCTCTGAAATCAATAAAAATAATTTTTAAAACAAATAAAAATAAAAGCAATTATGGGGAGACTGAGGCTCCATCCACACCACCGTTTGTAGTCTAGACACCTTCCCCTAATGTGTTTACCTTTAGTTAAACCTGAACAGAATAAACGTGGGGTGGCGGACTTTGCATTTTTCTCTTTCACTTTATATTCTCTCTGATTTCACCCATATTATCAATTACTGTATCTAGAAAAATTAGAGTTGTATGTGCTTGAGACAGAAGCAGATTTGAAAGAAGAGTCAAAAAAATAATTTCTTCTGTTTATTTTTCTTTAAAAAAAAAGGGGGGTGGTGGTGGATAGAAGTAATACGAGGTAGTAAAGAGAATGCTACACTATGTCAAGAAAATTAAGTTCCAGACCTGACTGGTTTTCTTATGACCTGCTCTACCTCTTGGCCTTCTTCTCCCCATTTTTAGGAATTAGGGGTAGCACTCTACCTGTGGTTTTATAGCTTTCATAGAAGAACTGTAGAAATTGCTTGGAACTTTCTGGGGAGAGACAAAGCAAGCAGACCCTCTGCAGCTATTTTATATATTTTGCTCGAAAAACAGGGTTTCTGTTAAGAAAATTAAATTCATATCTTAGACTAGATGACCTGTGTTCCCTTCTAGCATTTAAATTCTGTTTCTTAGGATAGTATTCATTTGTATTCCATGTGCATTTATGTATAAGTTTTTTTGATAAGAGATACATGCTCACAGTTAATTCATTACTAGAAGCCATAAACGTGTCCATATTCAATCTCATTTGTTTAATAAATACAGATTTCAAGTTTAATTCTTTATTATCAGAATCACAATTCTTTATTTTTTCTTTCTTCCCCCTACCCTTTTATGCTAGCCATAAAATTTTCACTTATATTCGAAGCTTGTAATCATCTTTGCAGTAGGAAAGCCGGTACTTTGCATTTGACGTGTTTGGTGGCTGAACCTTACAGATGTTAGCAGTCTCACCCAGCCTCACCATGTGCAGGGTCCTGCAGCACAGGGACATGTATGCCATGGACATGTATGCCATATGCACAATCTTTGTTTCTGAATCACTGGCTCCCCTTTGATTACCTGGGTTGGGCAGCCTAGAAGCACATTGGCTGTTCCCTTTATCTCTTTCCTGTGAAAGGACAGCAGCTTCTAAACATCCCGTGTTCCTCTTCAGTTCCTTCAGGCTGTGGAAGAACCCTCCGGAGGGGAGCCCTGACTGCTCCTCCTGCCCCCGGGCCTGTAATCTTGGTGCTGCAAATGCCAGAGCTGGGATTCCTATAGAGGCGGGGAGAGGAGCGTACAGCCTCCTCTGTCCTTCCCATTGTGGGCTGTTGACCACTTCTGCCAACCCTTCCCATCTACACAACCAACTATGTTTTTATTCTCTTTAGGTGTTCTTTTTATCAGAGCGCCCTTCTTACCTGCCTGTCAGTAAGGTGAGATACATTTCATCCATGTGTCTTTTTTTTTCTTCTGACTGTTAAAACATAAAAACCAAGAGCCCTAGAGTCATTCTGTTTTGATTACGCATAACCATTCCCTCCCAGTGTTAGGTGAGTTGGCCGTGCCTCTGCTTTGGGTAGAGTGTGTGTTCACAATCACTAAATGAATGTTCACGCCTCGTTTCTGTGCAGATGTACAGTGAGTCTCTTTGAACGGTTCTCGGACCACATGTGTAGGAGTAGAGAGGGGATGTGGATGGCACGCATCCCAGGCAACTTGGGTAACTCGACCATGTTCTGTCGTTTCTCTCCCCATCCACAGTCCTGGGAGTGACTGGCAGTCGGGCCTTGAGAGGAGAAACTGTGCTTTGAGTTCTGCGGTATTGAATTTGATCCAAGCTTACCCAATACCCACGAACTTACCACTGCCTTCCTTTTGTGTGTTCCATACTTTCTCTAGTGTTTACCAGAAATTTACTAATTGCCAGCTTGGCCTGACACAGGTGACTTCATCTCCTCAAGGCTTAATTTTGGTCTTTGTGAAATGGACACGATGATCTTTACTTTTATGAAAATTCAGTGAGGTAAAGCATGCCAAGAAAACCCTCTGCGGCCTTCGGTACTTGCTCCTGTTACATTGCAAACACCTCTGTTCCCGCGTGGATAGTCCACATTCTCTCCGGTGCCGTGAAATGTGCAATGGAATGTGTATTCCAAAAATTTTACGTCATTTCGAATTCTCTTCTTAGGCAATTAGATCCTCGAGCCCTTTTCCACATGCATAGAGTACTTAAGAGCTGGTTGTTTCATGCTTCATGAGGCACGTTTGCTCATCCTTGCGTTGGCATTTTCCCTGTAGTTAGTGCCTGTGCTCTTGATCTCGGAGTCCTCAGCCTCTTAAAACAGCCCCATCTGCATGCCCAACGGCGCCATCCTCAAGTGCCCATGTTCACCTTTTTGGCTGTCACTGTTTTTCCAGCCCATCACCACTTGTCAGTGTAGTACATTGGTTCAGAATGTGGCTGAGTTATTTCTAGCTGTGTGATTTCTCACTGGTCAGCTAATCTCTCTGTGCCGCCGTTTCCTTGTTTAAAACAAATAATGAAAGAAGCTCTTTCATCGTAGTGTAAGGATTAAATGACTTGCTACTTGATCTTGCAAAGGGCACTTCACTACCGTGGCCACTATCCGCCTTCAGCCCTGGTAGGTGGTGCGTGTTTCCTGCAGTTGTAAGCTCATGAGCCGGTGGAATTTTGTTGCGTCTTGTTTTGCTGTTTCCTCCACGAGGATTGTTTCTCTGTCTCGCGTCTTCTGTTCTGATTTCTCCACTCGCGCTAGCCTTTTCCAGACTGGTGTTCAGCATTACCATTTCTGCAGTTGGGAAGGACTTCTTTTATTCTTTCTCTTCCTCTTCCAAGGTTCACTAGTAGTTCCTATAAGGATCCTATGTAGGTGAAATTTCTATAGTTGCTGACTTTTTTAACTGCTGAAAAGTATCATGTGGTATAATGACTTGTCCAGGGTCACACAGCCGGAGGGTGGACCTGGGCTGGACCGTAGAAATGGTTAGAATCCCCCATATTCACTCAAACATCTGTTCTCTGTTTGCATACTGTGCTTTCTCTCTTCAACACTCAGAAGCATCAACTTTCTGAAAAGATTATGAGTGCCGTGTTCTTCTCTTAAAAAATGTCTTTGTGAAGCTGGCCTCAAGGTATTGGGAATTCTGTTTTAAGGTTTTAAAAAGTATTTTGTGTTGGTTTTAGATACTTGGATAAATATACCGGAAATGAAATAGGTAAGGTGCTCAGCTCTGTAACACTGATTATCATCTTGAAGGCTGTAGTATTTGGATTGAGTTCCTTCTCTCCAAATAAAGAAGAAGAAGAAAAAAAGAAATATCCCCTCTGCTAGGACAAAGTGCTTATCATTGTTCATTTGTTGGAGAAATTTGTAATATTTTGAAGTTTTCCTTCAAATGTATCTAGAAACATTTTGTTGTGTACCCATTACCACCCCCCAAAATTTTTTTTATTTGGATTTTGTTGACAATTGCCTTTAAGTTAAAAGTAACCTAGAGGACTGGTGTCCATAACAGAATGTTTTAAATCCTTCATGTCTTGTCTGTATTCAAAGCAGTGCAGTTGGGATATCTATAAACCACTGAAACGGGGCTTATACTTGATGAAAGAGAGCAGCGAAAGAGTAGTGACAGTCACTTAGCAAGTCTGTGGCCGAAGTGGGATTTGAACTTTCTGACGGTGACTTCTCGGCCTGTTCACAGTGTGGGGGGTCACGGTGTTCTAATGGCCTCGGCCACAGCTTTTTCTCTCCTGCTCCTGTTTGAAATGTGTTCTGGGAATCGGTGTCCTGTTGAATCCCTCTTTGATGCACGTCCCATTTATTAGTATTGATTTCAATACAGGGTACAGTAAATCTGACCACACAAAGGAAATACTAGGGAGGAAGTTCAAAGCTTAAAATCCCGGTTTTAAGAACTTTATTCACGTAAGCTCATAATGCAAAATGTTAGTTTAAAATTTTTTTAAACCCTAAAAGGAAAAAAAAAAAAGAATAATCGCACTCATCCATTTTGATTGCTAGAACCCTTAGGAGAGTGGCAGCAACATTATCATATGGAACATTATACTATGGTGGACCCGGAAAAGGTTTGGAGGGGGGGCGATGGATGGGTTTGATACCTGAGAGATTACTTGGGAGGGAGTCACGTGTTTCTGCTGACAGAGTTTACAGGACTGTAAATTTCAGTGTAGTTTTGTAGGCAGCATGCATTGACAAATATGCCTAATGGTAATACATCTAGCACTGAGTCTTGGAGCAGGTCAATAATAGTGTGTGTGTATTGATAGCAGCAATGTAGGAGATGTTACTAGGTATTATAGCTAAAAATCCATGTCATCCCCTTAATCATAATTACATTAATATTGACAGGCCCTTGACAATACCCACATTATTATTGATAGATTTCTGTCAATAACATGGTTTTAAATAAAATATATTCATTCATAATTTGTCCTCGACTCAATAAAAGCTCTGAAATACATCCTGAAACACGCTTCCCTCTTTAGTGAGATAGAATCGTTTGTGTTGGTTTTAGAATGCGATATAGATGGCAGAGTTTTATTTTAGGGAATGAAAAGCGTAAAAGGAAAGCCTGAGTTATTTAAGGGATAAGGTTATGTATCGCTGCTCTTAGTAAACGAATTTCAGGGGTTTTTTCTGTGAAAGAAAATCAGTGTGGCGTGTCTAGTGATAAAATGTCAGCAGGAGACCTTCTTGGTAGTTTTTAGTGCTAGATTATTTTGTCTTAAACATATTTATGTGACAAGTTAATCACGCCTAACCCTGGTAGTTGCTGTACTTTTTATCTTTCCTTGATTTTGCCTTAAACATCGTTTTCACATACCCTATTCTTTACTAAACACTAATATTACTTAGTGCCAATTATACTTTTAATTATTTTTATAAGTCTCTCTGCTTGGTCATAAATGTTTTCCCTTGCATTAGCCTTTTATATTCTTAAATTTAGTATAGTTTGGGGAGTGGGAAGGAAGGAGGTGATAGGATTATGCATTAAAGGAATGAGATTCCATGGCAAAATAAGGAAAAACATTGCCTGTTTGGGGGAATTCTGGAAAAATAAATTTGAGTAGAATCTGATGGTGTTTGTTTCCATTCAAAATGATCCCAACTTTGAAAATAAAAATTAGCTTGTATTTTTTTTTAACTACTCAAGTTTGAGCCTACACTAGATAGTAACCTGCAAGAACCAATAATCTGGGTATTGTTAATGCTTACTTAAATTCTTGGACATAAATAGACCTGGACAGGCCAGTAGCCATCAATGGAACAGAGACAGGAAAGTATGGTTTACCAGAAACGTTGGGGACTTTTGACTCAAAAATGTGAAGAGCAGTTTAATACTAGTCTGCTGGTCCATGACAAGTTGGATGGAGCGAGGAGATTGGGCCCAGCTGTTCTTAATCTGCACTGGGGCCAGGCTTGGGGAGAAAAAGGGAAAACAATGTTAAACTGTAACAGGAGGGATAAGAAAGAAGTTTTTGATAATAACTGTTAAATGTTGGCTTGGTTGGGTAGTGTGATAAGTCTCCTTTTCTGGCAGCTGTCAAATTTTTCTGTTTTTACGAAATGTTCTTAAGTACGATTCCTTCAGGAGAAGGGGTTTGAAATAAAGGGCTCCTGAGAAGCCACTCCCTCTGTCCAGTTTCTCACTAAACACAAGTAAGGAACCCGAGGAAAAGATCGCTTCCCTCCCCTCCAGTTCACTCCTTCCACTACGTATTCGTTCAGCACGTTTATTGAGCAGCTACTATGAGCCCATCTTTGTGTTAAATTCTGTAAGATAGTAAGATAGTCATCAGCCACAATCCGAAACTGATTGTGACTCCAGTATTTAAAAATGCATAAATGGGCACAGCTGGCCTCCAACACTAGCGACATATTTCGTCTGATACTCATTTGGGGCGGGGGGAGCAATCCTTCCAGTTAAACATGGGGGTGGGATGAAGGGAGGGAACTGGTAGTGTTGGACTTAATGTTGATGTGCAATAAGGTCGGAGCGTTCCAAGAGCACTTTGACAATCAGAGAGCTTCCCTTATCTTGCTGACCACGGGATGTGAAATCTGTATTGTAGACACTGTGTTACACATACCATACCCCCACATATCACCAGTGATTGCAGAATTTTACATGACAGAGACTGAGCTAAGTATCAAGTCACTGTGTAAGTGGTAGGAGCTTTGGGAAGTAAGTATAAGATAAGGCTTTTCCCTTAACTAGTTTATAATCAAGTTAGGAGAAGGTGTGTTCACATGACTGAAGCCACAGTACAAGTGGTTGAGGGCTGAGTGGGTGTCACAGACAGCGGCGGTCACAGTTAAGACATGGTGACAATCGGAGTTGGGGATAGTTACGAATTTTTTAGAGAATTTTGAAATAGAGTTGGAATGTGAAGGGAGATAGTTGAGGGCATTGGGGCAGTTGATAGGGAAGGTAAGTGTTAGGTGCTTGAGAAAGGACAGAGGTGGGACTGCAGGATGGTCCTCCTTCCCGGTCCACTGGGAATGATGGTCACCTGATCTCAGGGGTGGAGACAGAATTGGGCCAGGTTGGGTCTGAGAAGTTTGTACTTTATCCCAGGGGTGATATGAGCTAAGAAAGAGGTGATACGGTAAGTGTGGGGAAATATTTTTGTAGATTTTGGTTTGCTTATAAGGTTTTTAAAATAATGTTTTTGTGTGTGTTTTTTAGTTACATAAATGATATGTTGATTAGAGAAAATTTGTAAATTACAGAAAAAATGAGAAAAATAATCTTACTCATTGATAATTTTTGTGTGTGTGAACTTTAAAGTTATTTTTCTGTCTTTGAAATTCTGTGTTTTGCCTGTCGTACCATCTCCCTCTGTTGTTGCCTAGTTGTCCATTCACTTGCTGTGTCCCTGCAGACCTGGGTTGGGGTCCTTCAGTGAGCCAGGGCGGGTCTTCTCTCTGCACCCCAAGCACCTTGCAGGGAGGGCGAGGATGCATTGATGCGCATGGATTTGTCATCCCTTAATAGAAGGAAGGGAGCGCCTGAGTCAGTGCGGTTGAACAGCCTCTCTGGATACAGGGATGAGACGGAACCCGGAGTGAACCAGGGATGAATGGGCAGCCGGCACGCAGCGTTGAGCTGTGTGGGTGATAGATTACCAAAGGATTATGAATTGTGCTTTGAGATGGACTAGCCCATAATTCTCATCTCCAGGGAACTTGTTAGAAATGCAAATAACTGAGGCACCACAAGCTAACAAGTCCTCCTAGTGATTCTCACAAACCCTCAAATTTGAGAACCGCTAAACTAGAACAGAGCCTACAGGGCTGCGATGTTGAAGAGCACGGCATAGGAAGATGGAAAGCCCAAAGATGCGTGGTCTCAGTGAACATAACCAATGAGATACCACAGTAGCTGAAATGGGTAAACTAGGAAAATATTGTATTGTTACAGAGAACATGAAATGTGTTACACATGGTCAAGATCTGTTTGTCTTTATAAATCACCGCCTTCCTGGTTTGAGCATTTAACTAGACTTATAATAGATTAATCCAGTGGTCGGCAAACTCATTAGTCAACAGAGCCAAATATCAACAGTACAACAATTGAAATTTCTTTTGAGAGCCAAATTTTTTAAACCTAAACTATATAGGTAGGTACATTGTTATTAACTTAATTAGAGTACTCCTAAGTTGGCCTTTGCTAAAAACATCCTCAATCTGAGATGTTGATCTCAGCGAACGTACCCCCACTTCTTCTAACGCCACTTCTTCAAAATTGACTCGCCCAGGCCGAAAAGCGGCCTGGGTCAAACTTCTGCGCATGGGCCACGAAGTTTCAATCGCACTGTACGTGCGCGCCCGCACGTGGTATTTAGTGGAAGAGCCACACTCAAGGGGCCAAAATGCCACATGTGGCTCTCAAGCCGCGGTTTGCCGACCACTGGATTAATCCATTGAGAATGTCCCCATGCTCAATGTCCCCGCCCAGGCTCTTTCTCCCAGTCCACATGACTGCCTCCTTGCTGTCTCACAGTGGCCTCAGATCTCCAAGACCACATGTGTGTATTATCTTTCCCTTCAAACCAACATCTCTGCGAGTGTTTCCCATATCAGAGAACTGGTCTGATCCACTCAGTTACTCAAGTCAGTGATTCCTGGCTTATTTCTCACAAAATCTTGTCAATTCTACCACTTCCGAGCTTTCAGAGGCGCCTCTCTCTCTCCATCCCCACTGATACCTTTCCAATTTAGACCATTAGTTTCTCACCAGATCGTTTTAACAGTCAACTGGTCTTTCGGCCCCAAACCCATTCTCAGTGTAGCCAGAACAAGCTGTGTAAACGCGAATTTTATTCTTTTCTTACAACCATTCCGTGGCTCCCCATTACCATCTGGATAAACTAGGGCCTTAAGGATGAGTCTCGTGCTTTTCTTCCCAACCTTATTTTTTGTCCTTGGACCTTCAGTCCTTGTCACCTGCTCTTCCCTCGGCCTGGACTAGTGTAGTATGCTTACCTTCCTTTACCAGCCTGGCATCGCTCACCCTTCAGGTGCAGAGGTGTTGCCCCTCCATGAAGCCTTTCTGCTCGTAAGCATAACCCCCCTCCCCCATCACCCCATTACATTATACTCTTCACAGGAGTTGAGTCTGTCTGCCATTCTTCCACTAGCTCCCACACATTAACTGCTAAGTAGAAGGTGCACAACAAACGCATGTTGAAATAAGTAACAGCAACAATCTGGACATGGGCATTTGAAACAGTTTTAAGGGATGGAAATTTGTATTTTCTACCCTTCATCCCAGACATTTTTCTGTCCGTTCATCCATTTATCTAGTTTTATAGGATGCATCCTGCATGCCAGGCACTGAACTAGTTGCTAAGATTCAACTGTGACAAGACTCAGATAATCTTTGCAATGGGCCTTGTCTTCTAGTGGAGGAAATCAACCTTCAGAAGTAGTGTATGTCCAGTACAGAAAGGTCTAGGTCAGTGATGGCGAACCTATGACACGCGTGTCAGTGGTGATACGTGAACTCATTTTTTTGGTTGATTTTTCTTAAGTGGCATTTAAATATATAAAATAAATATCAAAAATATAAGTCTTTGTTTTACTATGGTTGCAAATATCAAAAAATTTCCAAATGTGACACGGCACCAGAGTTAAGTTAGGGTTTTTCAAAATGCTGGCACGCCGAGCTCAAAAGGTTCGCCATCACCGGTCTAGGTAGAGGAAGAACAGCGAGAGGGGGCAGCTAACCCAAGCTGGGCAGGTCGGGAGGAAGTGATGCCTCACTCAGAACTTGAGAACTTAGGATGAGTTAAAGAATAGGAACGCACTGATCCCAGTGAAGGGAACAGGTAATAGAACGTCCCCTAGTGAGCAGAGGGGGCACTTATACTAGAGGTCAAAGCATTAGGAAGGCAAGAAGCTTGTGTGAAGGATCACGGTGTGGGCAATGCCCCGAAGGAGTCGGAAGGTAGATACCCGCATTGGGTGTAATCCCGGGGAGACGAGCAGCACAAGTTAGGGAGAGGCTGTGGGATAGAGTAAGGGATGGGTTTGAAAATGTTTTGGACAAAGAACGGGCCTTGGGATTAATTAGATTGGTATAGGGAGCAAAGAGAACCCTGTCCTAACCCCCTCCTTTCTCTCCTGCAGTTCCTGGCCAGTATGAGGCAAGGATTTCACAGAACTTGCAGCCCAAATCCCCACTGCTCTCAGCTTAGAAGTCTTAACGGAGCTCCAGGAAGGGGAAACTGGTGAGGTAACCGGAATGTGAGAAGCATTCCTGTCATATATCTGGGTTCAGAGGGAAAGAGCACTAAACAACCTGTTATTTAGTAGCCATGTTTGTTTCCTGTATTTGGACTTCCTGCCCCTCAGTTATCTGGGATCCATGGGTAATTCAAAGTCTTCCTCCTGAAAAAATTCTCTGATTGTAAAGATATTCCAATTTTAAGACATACAACTTTATTGTAGGATGTATTTTGCAGTTCTTTTGACTTCTGACAAATTATATTTAACATCTTTTAGTAAAAGACATAAAGTAATAGAATTTGTGAACTGATCTTAGAATACCTTTTTGATAATAGTTCTCTTTTCTCCAAAAGTGTATGATGCATCTTAATAATGACATTTCTGCATTCATGGTGCTTTGTGCTAGTATTTATTTTCTGCAATCATGTGATAGAATAATGAACACTTACTACAAATCAACAAATGTCAAGTGCTGGCAAGGATGTGGAGAAAAGGGAACCTAGTATACTGCTGGTGGGAATGCAGACTGGTGCAGCCATTGTGGAAACAGGATGGAGTTTCCTCAAAAAATTAAATATGGAACTGCCATTTGACCCAGTGATCCCACTTCTAGGAATATATATCCTAAGAAACCCAAAACACCAGTCAGAAAGAATGTATGCACCCTGTGTTCATAGCAGCACTATTTACAATAGCTAAGATCTGGAAACAGCCCCAGTGCCCATCAGTAATTGAGTGGATTAAAAAGCTGTGGTACATTTACACCATGGAATACTATGCAGCAGTAAAAAAGAAGGATCTCTTACCCTTTGAGACAGCATGGAGGGACCTGGAGAGTATTATGCTAAGTGAAATAAGCCAGTCAGAGATACTTGTCGACAAGTATCACATGATCTTACTCATATGTGGAATCTAATGAACAAAATAAACTGTTGAACAAAATAGATCCAGAGACATAGAAGCATGGAACAGACTTTCGAACCTCAGAAGGAAGGGATGGGAAGGGTGTGGGGGAGATGAACCAAAGAACTTGTATGCATATATGCATAACCTATGGACACAGACAATAGGGTGGCAAAGGGTCGGGGCAGGTTAGATGGGGTCAATGAGGGGGGGAAAAGGGACGTATGTAATACTTTCAAGAAAAAAGATTTTTTTTAAAATAAAAATAAACCTTTATTATTTTTTTCTCCTACTTTCCTTTATAAATATATAGGAGATTAAATGACTTATTGAAAAGTATGCCTTGGAGTCAGTAGAAGTGCTAGGCGTTAAACTGAGGCCTTGACTTACCATTCATTGCAGTGTTCGACATAATTCATTGTATTTATTAAGTGCATATATTTCTCCATTAGCCATGCTATTATTCAGCCTTTTACTTAGCAATTATTGCTAAAACCTGTTATTCCCTTGATGAGGAGGGCCAAAAGCGAAAAGCAAAAAACAGGAAAGAAAGGAGGGAGGAGGACATGTGAGGAGAAAGAGAAAGGAGTTCCCACTAAGAGGTGACTGCTCCGTGTGCTGTTTGGACACGATGGAAAGGTGTGTCCTGTCTTGTATATCCCAGTTTCCCGGGCATTGGTTGCGGAGACGGTACAAGGTTGTCTGTGTCTGATGATGTTTCCTAATCGTACTTCCTCCTAGAGCTCTTTGGAGAAGGCATGGCTTCCAGAGAAGACAAAGCGCAGAGCACACACAGGGTGCTGAGAATCAGTCAGCTGGATGCACTGGAACTGAACAAGGCCCTGGAGCAGCTGGTTTGGTCCCAGGTCACTCAGTGCTTCCATGGGTTCCAGCCAGGGCTGCTGGCCCGCTTTGAACCTGAGCTGAAAGCCCTCCTGTGGCTGTTCTTGTGGCGATTCACCGTTTACTCCAAAAACGCCACGGTGGGCCAGTCGGTTTTAAATATTCAGTACAAAAACGACTTCTCCACGACCCTGAGATACCAGCCCCCGAGTAAGAACCAGAAGCTCTGGTACGCTGCCTGCACCATCGGCGGGAAGTGGTTGGAAGAACGCTGCTACGACCTTTTTCGAAACCATCACTTAGCCTCGTTTGGGAAAGCCAAACAGTGTCTGAACTTCGTGGTGGGCCTGGTGCAATTAGGGAGCCTGATTAACTTCTTGATTTTCCTCCAAAAGGGCAAGTTTGCCACTTTGACGGAACGCCTGCTAGGCATCCGCTCTGTGTTCTGCAAGCCCCAGCACGTGCGTGAGGTTGGCTTCGAGTACATGAACAGGGAGCTTCTGTGGCACGGCTTCGCGGAGTTTCTCATTTTCCTCTTACCGCTCATCAACACCCAGAAGTTGAAGGCCAAGTTATCTTCCTGGTGCATCCCTCTCGCCGGTGCTCCGAACGGCGACAGCTCCTTGGCCAGCAGCGGCAAGCAGTGTTCTCTGTGCGGGGAGTGGCCCACCATGCCCCACACGATCGGCTGTGAGCACATCTTCTGTTACTACTGCGTGAAGAGCAGCTTCCTGTTCGACATGTTCTTCACCTGCCCTAAGTGTGGCGCGGAGGTACACAGTGTGCAGCCACTGAAGTCAGGAATCGAGGTGTCGGAAGTGAATGCTCTTTAGAAACTAAAAATGGTTTTCTCTGCAGAAAACTGTCTTGTGTTGAAAACCTTAGGATTAGTCACCCTGAGCATACCATTTAGGTGTCTTTTATGAGAACATGTGCTTCTCAGCCACTGTGTTCTGTTCCTTGCCAGACCTGACTAAAATCTAATCACTGGGATCCATGGGTTTCTGAGTATATTCTGTGAATGGTAATGTGTTATTTTCTTTAATGATTGCATTCAGTGTTTAATGTCAGGAGTAATGGGCAGCTTTTGTCAGATGCCTACGAACAATGCTCCTTCACGTTGTACTTCCTAGAACAAGGTTAGCCTCTGAAAATAAAAAGTTTTGCAGACTGGGTTGAGCGTGCCTTTATTTCCAGAGATGGTGTTATAACATAATCTGACAGTGATAAGACCATGGTGTTTTGGGGTTTTTTTGTTTGTTTGTTTTTAATATATTTTTATTGAATTCAGAGAGGAAGGGAGAGCGAGAGAGAAAGAGAGATAGAAACATCAATGATGAGAGAGAATCACTGATCGGCTGCCTCCTACGTGTCCCCAACTGAGGATTCAGCCCGGGTATGTGCCCTGACCAGGAATTGAGCCATGGCCTCCTGGTTCATAGGGTGACGTTCAACCCCCTGAGGCATGCCAGCCAGCCAGACCCTGTTGTTTTAAACCTTCTGATCTGGTGGCCCACTCGTAATTGTAAGCTTTTCTCTGAAGCCAGTTTTCAAGGGGTTCAGTGGGCTCTGTTCTCAGGCAGAATGGTGGCCCACGGAAGCTGAAGACTTACATCCTGCAAGCTCCCTGCCCCCCCTGGAATAAGAGCTCCTTGCCTGGCCACTCAGCAAAGCAGGGGGATCACTGGACCAGGATGAAAAATCCTTCCCATTTCTCAATGTGGGTGACATCCCTCACCTAAACCACATGATCCTGAAGTAGGAGGGGAGGCAGGTCGCCACAGGGCACTGAGGTGCTGGTTCAAGGATGGTGGGTGATGGGCAGGTAGACATAATAAATCGCTCCTATACTTCCCAAATTTTCTACAATAAGCATGTCATCCTTTTTAATTACATCAAAACAAATTTTTTCTTTAAAATCTGATGGCCAGTGTTATTTCAGTTAAATCCAAAGAGAAAACATCTGCATAGCTAGGAAACCGTCTTTTACAAATGTGAATTTAGGACATAGTAGGCCCTATAAACCCTAGGGTTCCTATTTGTGTGTTATAATAAATAGAGCCTGTCTTTATGGCCACCCACAGCTATTGAAAAAGTCTGAATTATTTCATACATTTTAAGTTAGATACTAAGTCTGACTCCATGTAGCATGGAACTTTTTTTAACCACTTAGAAGTATTTAGGCAACAAAAAGGTAGAAAGCCCCCACTCCCTCTTCCAGAAGTACTTGTATATATAAGTAAATGTACAGTATTTATAAATGTGGTTTGATTACCTTAAAACCCTAGAACTGGTACACCAGAGCAAAACAATCGACATGAATACGTTATATTATCAATTTGCCTAAGCCTATAAGATGACAATGTTTCCTCAACTAAGAGTTAAGACACAGGGCCTGACCCAGGATTTTGTATGCCTTCCAGATGTGGACACAGAAATGCTGACATTTCTGAGTATTTTTATGGTTCAGTTGCCAATAAGACATAATGCAAACTTGAACTTCAGCTGAGACTTTATCTAAATAGTTATAAATCTGCATTAGTGGAGCCGGAGGCTTTACTGTTCTGAGAGGTGTCCAGGAGGGGTTCCTTCTAAACACATCTCACTTCACGTTCAGAAATGTTGAGCGTCCTCTCCTGAAAGCCTCTATTCTTTTAAATCCACACCCATGGTAAGAATTCCCTTTTAGTCAGCAAAAATTATAAAATAATACACTGTGCTGAATTGCTTTAAAAAGGCTTAGTTCCAGACCAAATGCAAAGGGCACATAAATTCTTTTAGAGCAAAACCCCTATCCAATATTGCATGCATTATTTCTTAATGCTACTTCTCAAACCTACTCGATAGAATAGGCCTTAGTTTCAACTAGATGACTGTCCTGCAAAATAGACTGACGCTATATGTGTGTGTGTGTGTGTGTGTCCCTACAGCCAAAAGCAATGACTACCACAATGTTTGAAGAAGACAAGAGGGCCCTGCCAGTGTGGCTCAGTGGTTGAGTGTCGACCCATGCACCAAGAGGTCACCAGTTGGATTCCTGGTCAGGGTACATGCCTGGGTTGTGGGCTGGGTCCCCAGTAGGGGGCATGCAGGAGGCAGCTGATCAATGTTGATGTTACTCTCTCCTCAATGTTTTTATTTCCATTTTTAAAAAATATATTTTTTTTATTGATTTCAGAGAGGAAGTGAGAGGGAAAGAGAGATAGAAACATCATTGATGAGAGAGAATCACTGATTGGCTGCCTTCTGCACACCCCCTACTGGGAATCGAGCCCACAACTCAGGCATGTGCCCTGACTGGGAATCGAATCATGACCTGGTTTCATAGGTTGATGCTCAACCACTGAGCTACGCCGGCTGGGTCTAGCTCCACTTTTTTTTTTTTTTAAAGAAGGGTGAATACCTTTAAAAAAAAAAAAGACAAGAGGGTTTGGGGTTTGATTAGGAAGGCCTCCCAAATAAATGAGCAGAGCAGCTGATAGAATTGTGGGGACACTTCCCCATGTATTTCTGTAACAGTGTAGCGAGGCCAGCAGTCCCAGTTTGCAGTGTATCTTAGAGTGCCGTTTTTAATTTAAAATGTTCTATGGCGTTCTTGCTTTGAGGGAAAACACAGTTGGAATTCAGGAGCACAATAAGAGAATTAATAACTTTTCTTTGAAAATACATGCAATTTTGGAGCTGTCAATTTCAGCTATGTCTCTTTAAATACTTTTTCCTCTCGAATCCAACTGGGTAGATGAGATTTTTTTTTTTAATTCCATTATAGAAGTAATAGCCCTGTTTTGGTGTTTTGTAAGCAGATAATATTCTGCTGGTGACTGTCTTTGCAGTAATGCATGGCTCTGAATTCTGAATTCTATTATTTTACATCTCCAGCAGCTTAAAGTGTATTTTTTATAAACAGCAAACTTCACCTCATAAAAATTCATTACATAGGGTATAAACAAGTGCTTTTCTTTCTAGTCATTGGCGGTAAGTGATTCATCAGTTTTCCACAGAAAACCAATTTCATTGTAGATGTTCTATAATTTCCAATCTCCCTGAATTGTGGAACCATAACACACAATCCCAATGCAAGGAAGGGAAGGAATTTTTTCTTTTCTTTTTAAGGTCTGTGCTTAGTCTCCTTAATAGGATTGAATATCATTTGCCATCTCATCAATTTTATTTTTAAAAATTAAGTGATCAGTCTCTTTTTCTTACCTGTATATGTTGTTTCCACATGTGGATGGATAGCTGGTAGAAAACTCCAAAACCCCATGCTACCTGATGTCTAAAAACAATAACATTCACTCTTTTCTCCCAGTCAAACTAGAAATATTGAGAAAAGCAAAAATTTGTCCCCATGGCGAAATCCTTCCTTTTTACTGTTTACTTTCAATCTTTTCATCCCCAGGTGAAGGAGGAGTGTGGAAATCAGGAAATGTTCACCTTCTATCACCAGGGACCTCCTGGGAGTGGTCCCTGGGAAAATTACCCCCACCAACACTCAAACTTAGTTTTGTCCAGTGTTTCAAAGTTCACTGATGGAAAATGGGCATTCCAGTATAAAATAGGGAGTTAAATCTGGCTGGTGGGGCTCAGTGGTTGGGCGTCAACCTATAAACCAGGAGGTCAGGGTTGGATTCTTGATCAGGACACGCCCAGATTTCACTCGTAGGGGGAGTGCAGAAGGCAGCCAATCAAAGATTCTCATTGATGACTCTGTCCTTCTCTCTGTCTCCCTTTCTCTCTCTGCAATCAATAAAAACATTTAAAATAAAAATACAGAGTTAAGCCCTGGCTGGTTTGGCCCAGTGGATAGAGCATCGGCCTGCGGACTGAAGGGTCCCAGGTTAGATTCCAGTCAAGGGCACATGCCTGGGTTGTGGGCTTGATCCCCAGTGGTGGGCATGCAGGAGGCAGCCAATCAATGATTTGCCCTCATCATTGATGTTTCTATCTCCCTCTCCCTCTCGCTTCCTCTCTGAAATCAAAAAATATATATTTTAAAAAATACGGAGAGGGAAGAAATGCCTGCAGATACAGTGACAGCCTAAGGCCATCTACAATAAATGAAAATTTCTCAGAAATACCGACAAGGAAAAGGTTAAAAATCTAAAAGCCTTAGGAAGTTAAAGTCCAGTCTTTTTCAAAACACCTCAGTCTTTGGATTGAGAGGTTGAATCAAAAGTACGGTAATTGAATTTACTAACAAAGTTATGAGGTATTGCAAGGGTGAAGTGACAGATTCTCAAGATAATTTGAACGTGAAGGTGGTCCTTATTCACCCCTCCGCCGGCCACTACTCTGGTTACCCACATATTTCCTCTAATGAGTTACATAAGGAGGGTCTGTGGACTTGTCTCTGCAGAACCATTCTTATGCAGAGGCCCCGAGGGTGTTTTGAGAAATATTCATATCTGCCCCTGCTTCTGCCTTGGTGCCTGGAATTCCATCCTCGTGGAGAATAGTATGTCCCTAAGGGCACAGCATTATCTCTACTCCGAGAAATCGCATGGGATGTGGGGTCACCTCTGGTGGGTTTCCTGCTGGCCACAGGCAGAGACGGGCAGCAGCCAAAGAAAGGGGAGAGTTGGCCCCTGCAGATCCACCCCTGACCTATGGAACCACCAATTAAAACCTATTCCATGCCCCCGTCCTCTGCACTCCCCAGTTACTGCACATTGCCTCGTACTCACTTTCCTTCAAGTACATTTTAAACTGGCTTCTTTATGCAAACCGGAATGGAAAGTCCTAGGAATGAGTCAACACAGCCTCCCTGTCCATTCATTTCAGACAGCTATTGAACACTTTCTTCAGAATGTGGATCGCTAGGAATCCAAAGATAAATAAGAGATCAGACTCTACCAAAGGAGGAGGTGGTGAGAGCAAATCGATGAGCAGTGTATTCCATCGGGGATCTGTGGAAACCCTGCCTGGGAAGGTGGCGTTTGAGCTCAGTCTTGATAGCTCTGTAGGAAATCCTCAGATGAAACGAAAGGACATTAAAATGAGGGGGAAAAAATACCCTTAAGATGTCACACATGAGCCCTCAACACCCAAGTGCAGGCGAATAGTCATTCAACAGATGATCATTAAGGATTTATAGAGTGTCAGATGCTGTGCTGGGCAAGCACCGAGTGTGAAAAAACATAAGCCAGAGGATGTGTTTTCTGCCCATGCAGAGCTC